CATATCTGATGTTGCTAAGATAGTGGCTGCCAATAACAAATCTTGGTATGAATTTTAATTATTTCACTGGGAAGACACATCTTTGTTTTACATCCATTTCTATTATTGTATATTTATTTTTGGGATCTTCCACAACAAACCAGCCTTACTTCTTTTTAGGAAATGCACTCTTCCTATCTGGTAAGTAACATCCTACTTTCATACAAATATAACAAGTATTCATTGGTCAATCACCTTCAATCTAATTTGTTGATTGGTCAGTTCCGACCAATCAAACCGCCTGCACGTGACCAATCTGTTTTCCCACTCATATGCTGGGAGCCTCACGAACATTATATAAACCCAACACGTGTAAACTCCCTCGCGTTTTCTTTTCATTCATCTCTCTCGCACGTCTCATTCCTTCCTACCAAGTGCAACCTTCAAGAACTCCCGTCTTAACCATTTCGGTGAGACGTTAAAGACAATTACCAACATTCATGAACTCTGAAATCACTTCTGAACATTTACCAACTTTAGAACTCACAATTCCAAACTTTATACTTCTAAATTACAAGTTTAATATTACTTCTTCTTAATATGAACTCCGGTACAACTAATACCTAATCAAAGGGACACGACTCTGTCTTACCTTTTCAGTTCGCATGCATGTACATCAAACATTAATAAATCTAATTGTTATGTTTTTGGAATCTTTCAGTTCAGTTTTGTACTTTATTCTATGTGCTATTTACGTCAAGTATAAATTGCATTGCTTTCACGCATTTTCCTGAATCTTATCTACACTAGCCCAAGTTAAATATCTTTTTAACACCATCACTACAATAATGATGACCGCAACGTTCATCGTTCTACGTTCACAACAACAATGGTAATATAACCGCTACATATTTGGTGATCCCGTCGTAAATAAACAATAATGGTAACCCCCATCGCTACACATTGATTTCATTTTCTATTCGTATGAAGGCGGTTTTCTTTTGGTATAAGTTCTTGATTCTTTGTTTTTATGTGCCATATCCCTTCAGGGCGTAGGCGATCATGGCTCTCCACCTCCCTCTATCCCTTGCATGTTCCTTCCTTCTACTTCCTCCCCCACACACATTCTCTCATCCACCTGCTCAAGCTCGTCAGTTATGTCACGCGCTGTTTTCCCTTGTGTCTATTTCCCTCTATTTGACCCGTGAGTATCTGAATCTCCAGGCCCCCCTTCCTCATTATGTGTCCTAGAAACTTCAGCTGCCTCTTTAAGATTTTAATTATAAGCCTTCTCCGCGTATGCAACCTTTCTAAAACTTCATCGTTGCTCACAAGCTCGGTCTATGATATCCTCAGCATCCTTCTGTAGAACCGCATCTCCGTCGTCTCGAGTCTCGTTTTCATCATGTTGAAACTTGATTAATGCATGGAATAATAATAATACAACACAAAAAGTACTTAGAACAAAATGTATTGAAACAAGAAAGTGTACACAATATTTACATATAGTCTTTTGGTATATTCTTGGGAAGACCGTTCCTGGAGAATGGGTTGACTTAGTCGCAGTCGGGCAGAGTCTCTGGATTGGATCTCTTGATTCCTTCCCCTCGTCTTCCCGGTACCAACCATATTTATATGGTCGGTACTCACTATGTAAATTAGGTGGATCCTACCACAACACATCATTGAGGAAATCGTCCAACATTGGCTGCCCTAAAGAAGAACAGATAAATATTCAGTATTCTTTTCTTTGTTACCAAAGAAATCTTCTTGTCTTGTAATACTCTGCTCAACTTTTGGAGTGCATCCTTGATCATCCCAATACGTCTACCGATCTCAGTGCTGTATTTACCGTCATCTGTCAAAACGCTTACAGATAATTCCACGTCTGGTTGATTCTATTGTCCCCGGCCTGTAAATTGCATTTCGGGCTCTTCCTTTTCCTGATGACTATGCATTCTGTCTTCTTGTAGTTTATGCTTAGTCCCTTCTTCTCACTCTCCGTCGCTACCTTCCGTTAGAGATTTTGTAAGTACGATTTTCAAAAATGTAAATGCACTATCATAAACGTATAAGCATGCGTTTAATAAGTACACTTTGAGTGTCAAATTCTCCAAGCTCCCTTTCCTCATTATATGCCCCAGAAATTTCCAGTGTCTATGTATAAGCACCTTTTTTGATTTTATTTTCCGTAAAACATTCTCATTGCTCTCATGTTTCTTCCATTGTATTCTCAACATCCTTCTGTAGAACCAGCTATCTGTTTTCCCTAGTCTTCTGTTCATTTGAGTGAAAATTGTCCCGCATTCACTGCCATAGAAGGGGACCGATATTATATAGCATTTCAGCACTTCTTTCTTTGTTTCTACTGTAATTTTCCTGTTTCTTAATCCTTTGCTTAGCTTTTGAAAGGCAACTTTTTGTATTCCAATGAACATTTGGACTCATCTGTCACATCTTCTGTCTTCTTGTATACTTCTAAGATAGTCTGGTGCCCCTTATGCTTATCTCAAGGTTTCTTGATAAAATCCAGAGAGGGATATGCAACATAATTGGCCCCGATCTGACATCTCGTCTGCAGTCGCTCTCTCACAGACGTGCCGTCGCCTCCCTCTGTTTTTTTTACAAATACTTTTATAGTAACTGCTTCGAGGAGCTGCTTTCGCTGATTCCCAAACTTCATGAATTTAAGCGTTCTTCTAGGCTGGCATCTCGCTCACACCCTTTCACTGTCGAAATTGTTAAATGTAGCCGTCTCTTCTACTCCAATAGCTTCATGTCTCGCACCACTTGCCTGTGGAACTCCCTCCCCTCTTTCTGTTTTCCTGATAGCTATAATCTCCAACTATTCATATGTAATGTCAATCGACGTCTTCAGATGCCCTGATCTATCCCCTATCCTTCTTTTCATCCTTTCCTCCATCACTCCTATTTGCTCTCGCTCCAACTCTCTGTAACCCCTTGCGTGCTAGTGGCTTCCCGCCTTACTTGGGGTGAAACGCTTATTAAAAAGAAGTTAAATCTATCGACTTGCTTGATTCTGATCTTTCTAATTCAAAACTCGACTTCTGAGTTGTCTCTCTCGTTAATAATCCTACGTTCTGCTTTAGCCTTTTTTTTTAATTAAAACTGTTTGTATAAAGTTTCAACGCAGGTGTATTACTTACAAGTCTTGACTATAACACATAAATTGGGGAACTAAGAATGTAGTTTCTACTCCCACATACACGATAGAAAATAGGTTAGCGTTTACACCAGGGTTTCTCAACCTGGGTGATATCACCCAACCGCGGGCGATATCAACTGCTGGGCGGGCGATGCGCAACTGAACAGAATATAGTGGACGACTGGAAATGTTGGTAGGCGATATTTTGAATATTGAAAAAGATATTTCAACATATGATACCCGAAAAAAATATCCAAATAGATATACAAATGACTCGTAGAAGAAAAAAGACAAAAAAGGTGAGATAAATTGAAGTAACTGGGTCACATTACTTGATGAGTTACAAATATTCCCAAATATTGAATAATAAATAATAATAATAATAATGAAATAATGAATATTTTGGCATTTTTTACAGTTTTCAGGATTTGATTGATTTGTTCGTTTTCTAGGGGTTATCGACCCTTTGCAGGTTATTTAAATAATTTTTTTATTAGTTTTTCTTACAATATAAGAATTTGTGGTGGCGGAGAAAATAATGGATTAGTGATAGAAGTTTTACTAATTAATCCCCAGATTGTGGAGTTTTGAAAAGGGGCATGAACTTACAAATCTTTCTTCAGATGATGTAATATTTTTCGGATTTAACCCAGAAGAAAATGAACAAAAGATAATCGCTGTTTTTTTTATTCGTTTCTAGCAATGTATATTCTTTATAATTTTATATTTATGAACAAAAACCGTTTAATTTTTTTCCAAGACTTGCAACATTAATTTTAAGCATAAAGCTAACCTCAATGATAAAAGTAAATTATATATACAGTTTTCAATGGCCAAGTTTGCTTTCGTATATTCTTTAGCGGTCAAACACGTCAGCGTTATTTGTTACATCTCTTTGGTATTTTTTTACTACATCTTAAAGTCAGTTTATGAACCAGTAACAAACATTTCCTAAATAATTTTGGTATGTTTTTGAATATTTATTGGACGGGTGGGCGATGGAAAAAATTTTCCGTATGAAAGTGAGATACAACGAGTAAAAGGTTGGAAACTTACACATTTGTCGTATTCTTATTGCTAGATATAAGAAAAGAAAAAGGATCTATTTCAGGAAAACAGCCACAGAAAAAAAGAATGCTAAGAAAATCTCTATTCATTAGGAGTATCTTAAACGAAGATATCTATAGTTGAATTTGTTGAAATCGTTTAATTTCTTTTCAACATTTTCAACATTAATTTTAAGCCTAAAACTAACCTTAATCATAAAAGTAAATTATATATCCAGTTTGCAATGGTCAAGTTTGCTTTTGTATAGTCTTTAACAGTTTTAATAGCAGCAGCCAAACACGTCAGCTTTATTTGTTACCTCTCTTTGGTATTTTTTTTACTACATCTTAAAGTCAGTTTATGAACCAGTAACAAACTTGTGCTAAATAATTTTGGTATGTTTTTGAATATTTACTGGACGGGTGGGCGATGGAAAAAATTTTCCGTATGAAAGTGAGATACAACGAGTAAAAGGTTGGAAACTTACACATTTGTCTTATTCTTATTGCTAGATATAAGAAAAGCAAAAGGATCTATTTCAGAAAAACAGCCACAGAAAAAAATACTAAAATATCTATATTCATTAGGAGTACCTTAAACGAAGAAATCTATGGTTGACTTCAAAAGAACAGGCAGTATATTATCTTAAATGGAATCTAAGAGGGATGGGTGATGAAAAGTTCCCGTCGCTCACAATTCTCCCAGAGCTGACAAAATGACCAAACATGACAAGTATGGACGGGATTTACTTCCTGGATGGTTGAGAATTTTAAAGTAACCCCTTGCACACCGATGTGGATGCATATATCTAATGCATTGTGATTTCAGAGTATCGGACCATAAAGAAAATAATTTCACCATGAAGAAATTTATCCTGACAATACAATTCCCCAAAGTTCAGAATGAGAGAAAAAATGGTTGTGATGCCAAGGTGAAGGAAAAGGAGAAAATATAAAGAGGGTAAAAGGGAAAAAGATGTAGAGAAATAAATAGAATGAGAGAAAGAAGGGAAAAGAAATAGAGTAAGAAATAGAATGATAGAGAAAAAGGAAAAGAGAGAATGGGAGAAAGAAGGGAAAAGAAATAGAGAAAGAAAAGACGAGAAAAGATATAGAGGAGGACATAGAATGAGAGAGCAAAAGGAAAGGAGAGAATAAGACATTGAATAGGAGAAAGAATGGAAAAGACATACAGAAAGACAGAGAATGAGAAAAAGAAGAGAAAAGATATAAAGAAAGGCAGAGAATGGGAAAAAGAAGGGAAAATAGTTAGAGACAGGGGGAGGAAGATTAGAAAAGCTATATAGAAAGAGAAAGAGAAAAAGAAAGAATAAGATAGAATAGAAGAAAGAAGGGAAATATATACAGAAAGACAGAGAATGAGAAAAAGAAGTAAAAAGACATAGAAAAAGACAGAGAAAAAAAGAAAATGTGGTAAAGAGATAGGAAAAGATCGAGAATGAGAGAAAGAATGAAAAAGAGAAAATTAAATTATATAGATCGAGATGCGATTAAATGTACATAATAAGAAAAATATAAAAGAGAGAGAGAGAGAGAAAATGAAAGAAAGGGGGAGGGGGAGAGGGAGAGGGAGACGAGAGGGGAGAGGGAGAGGGAGAGAGAGACGTAAGGGGGAGGGAAATGACGAAAGCCAAATCCAGAAAGAAAAGTTAAGATAATTAAAGAGTAAAAATAAAAAAAATGTAAAGAAAGAAAGAAAGAAAGGGAAACAAAAGATAAAGAGAAAGAAAATAGGTTATAAGAGAGAAAATGCGAAAGGTAAAGAGAGAAGGAAAGTAATAAGTAAGAGTGAGAGAGAGAGAGAGATGAAAGAAAAAGAAATAAGAGAGAGAGAGGGAAGAAAAAAGAGAAAGGAAATAGAAAAGACGAGAGAAAAAGTGAAAGACAAAGAGAAAGGAAAAGAATGAGGGAGAGAAAATAAAAAGAGAGAGAAAGTATGAATGAGGAAAGCGAGACTAGGAAAAAGAGAGTGTGAGAGAGCATTAGAGTTAATGAACGAGAAAGAGAATGTTTGAAGAAGAAGAAGAAGAAGAAGAAGAAGAGAGAGAGAGAGAGAGTAGAGGATAAAAATAGAAAGAGTAAAGAATGAGATAAAAGGGAGATAGTAATAAATGTGAGAAAGAAGCGGTAAAACATGTGACAGAAAAGGAAAGCGAGTAAATAAGAGAGAGAAGGGGAAATATATAATGAAAGAATAAAAATACAAGAGTGGTGAAAATAAAGAGAAAGAGTAATGAATAAAAGAGAGAGAAGGAAAAGGATAATGATAAAAGGTAAAGAGTGAGAGGCCGAGAGATAAAGTGAAGAATTAGGGAGAAGTAAAATAAGGAGAGTGAATGAAAGAGACAGAAAGAGAAAAAAAGAGAAATTGTAAAGAATGATAGAGAGGTGAATAAAAAGAAAAAAGGTAAAGAATGATAGAGAGAGAGAGAGAGAGAGAGAGAGAGAGGAAGATACATAACATGAGAGAAAAGAAAGAAAGAAATGAGATAGATTGAGAGAGGGTGAGAAATATGAGGAAGAAAAACAATAAATATAACTGAGTAGGGGAAGACAAGCAGAAAGACAATCTTAAGATTGACAGGACGATAGAGAAATTCAGAAGAATAAAGGGTTTGAAATGAGGGTGAAAATAAATAGAAAGAGAAGAGAATAAGAGATCGAGAGTACACACACACACACACATACACACACAGAGAGAGAGAGAGAGAGAGAGAGAGAGAGAGAGAGAGAGAGAGAGAGAGAGAAGATAATACTAAAGTGTAAGATAGAATTGTTAGCATCAGCAACACAGAAAAAGCAAGGAAAAAGTAATGTAAGCAAGAGGAAAAGAAAAGCAAAGGGGAAGCGAGAGGGTCGGGGAACAGCACGATCGAATAAAAAAATGGCGCATAATAGAGAATAAGGCAAGAGGTAAAACGGCTAACTGAGCAGATAAGCAAAATTGATGGATTTCTTTTTTTTTACGGATTTTCAACCGTTTGTGGGCTATTTAAAGCCAGAAAATATTTTTAGATTGTAAGAGTTTTCTGCAGGTAATACAGATTTACTAACACAAGCCCTATTATTTAACTCATAGATTGGGGAGAGGAGGTGCAATCATATTTTTCCCATGGATATTTGCGTGTAAGTGAATACAACGAACCCTCCTGGAACTGGAACTCGGCTCTCCGATTTTCAATTGTCAGCCATTATCTATTACACCACCTGCATATCCAAGCTTAAAGAACCTGGTATTACGAAGCAGCCATCCACCTACACTCTTGTATAAATTAACTGAAAGAAACGCTTTAGTTTCCTTTCTTTCAACATACGGTCAGTTTTAGACCCATTGAAATGACAGGGTATAATCGATTTCTATTTTTTCCTCAGATTAGGTCATTTGTAGTGGTGTGCATTAATGTTAATCTATTTTCGGGGTGTATGATGAAATTTTTTTGGCCTTAAAAAATATCACGTCATACGTGATTGCATCAGATATTTATCACGCCCAGACACTATTGTCTCGACTGACGATTAGTTGTCCTACGGCCATTGTCTGCGATGGACGGTACTCCAATTAAGCGTACGAAAATTGTAGCGCTGCACAAAGACACTGGTAAGCCATACCGGTGAGCAAATCAAAGTACTATAGACTGGCCAGGAAACTCTCCTGATTCAAATCCAATCGAGAATCTTTGGTCACTCTGCAAGGAAAGACTTCGTGGAATGGACATACAAAGTACTAACATCTGCACTGGGTCATGTTTCATTGGAAAAATACGAAAAAAAAGTAAATAATAACGGAATTATTCGTTTTGTTTCAGTTCATTTGCACAAGGGTGTATATATAGAGAGGTAGGGAGGAAAGTATTTGTTAATGAGTATCTAAGTATGTAAGCATTTCTTGATAGCAGTAATTCTTTCGACTCTCACTCTCTGTGGAGTGTTTAGCGTCCGAAGCTTTAAGGTAAGGGACAGTAGTAAATACTGCATGTTGGTCTACAGTTGGAAATTCGTCTCCAGCTGTGCTGGTCAAACACTCTGCCTCCGGGCAGAGAGGATCCCCAGACGCAACTATGTCGAAGGACAGATACTCATTTCGGGAAGCAACTACCCGACCCCGTTTGGTAAGGGGTCTACGGGGAATTTTTGGCCAAGCCTACGGGCTCGGATACCCAACATTAAATTCGGCCATGTGTCACATCTGACAGCGTGGGCCGGTTGGTAGATATTCAGCAGTTGGAGATTCGTCTCCAGCAGTGCTGGTCAAACTCTCTGCCTCCGGGCGGAGAGGATCCCCAGACGAGGCTATGTTTTATACGGGGTCTACGGGGAATTTTTGGCCATGCCTACGGGCTAGGATACCGGACATTAAATTCGGCCTTGTGCCACATCTGACCGTGTGGGGGTGATTGGTGGATATCCTGCAGTTGGAGATTCATTGTGGAATAGATTTGACTCACTTCAAACAGTTGACTACTTCTACGCGCAGCTGGCGAATCTTATATGCGTTGTTCGTGTAATTACCAACCTTTGTGTGATTATTATATTCAGTAACCTTCCCTAGATTACAACAGAATGATAACCTTTTGGCCTCTTTTATTTATTTCTTTATTTTTTTCTCTTTTTGTTTTTATTTCTTTATGGCAAGACCAAAATGGTTTACCAAATGTTAGTTTTCTATTTATCTATTTTTTTTTATTTTTGAAAAAGTAATCTCATTTTCCAATCACCATATAATAAAATATTAGTACATTTCCTCTAATCTGGCGTTCCACCGAAAAAGAGCTAATGATTTATCATTTATGCATTAAAGAACAAAGGGAAGTAAGATTGACAATTGAAAAGTGTATATATATATATATATATATATATATATATATATATATATATATATATATATATATATATATATATATATATATATATATATATATATATATATATATATATATATATATAAATGTACCAGTAAAAAAGCATTCTCTTATTGCTATATTTGTACAAAAACGCACAACCTTAAAATTTAAATTTAAACTCAGCGTTGCAACCGCACGTTCCAAAACAATAACACATTTCTCATAGCATTTTTTCGGATTGCATCTCTATTTTCGTTGTCCTCTTATTACTGAGAAGTAAAAACAAGAATAAAATCTACTTCGATACCCGATGATGTCTGTAGGAACAGACGAAAGCTTGTAAAAAATTAAAATGACCTTATGCAACTGGAATTTATAAACAAGGATCATATCATTCATATACAGGTTCGGGGTTGGTGTATATTATTTATGTGTTTGCGACGATGTATTCTCGCCATTTAAATCATTAATCTCTATATTTGTTTTTTGTATGAATGATTCATGAATTTTATATATATATATATATATATATATATATATATATATATATATATATATATATATATATATATATATGAAATTTAATTTTATGGTCCGGGCTGATGTGGTTATCGTTGCAAAGTTGACAAAATATTAAACGATTTTTGGTTCATAATTTTAAATTTAAAACAACGTACATTCCTGGCAACTAATAAAAGTTCAGCGAATATTTTTTGCTCTTCTTCGTCTTTCCTTAGCTGATCTATATCTGAATATTCGTCTGAAAATGTAATAGAATATTAATGAACTTTCTCAAAAATGTAGAAAATACTAAAATATTCGTTGTTTGCGGGGATATTTTTATCTTCTTTGGGTAAGTGTCACACTTACATGCATTTAACCTCCTTTTTTTTTACACAATTTCTTTGCATATCTCTGAACATACTTTTCTCTGTATATATTGAAATACCTTTTTAATACCCAAAATCGGATATAGCGCACGGAAATTTATAAACAACCACCATTTTCTGTTCATTTGTTCATCACCCACCCAACAGTTGAAATCGTCCAGTTTGGGAAACCCTGAAACTTTGATACTGGTCATGTACAATTGTAGTGACACTTGGAGAAGAAAAAGAAAGTTACCTCTTTCATAGTGGCATATTTGGGGTTTTGCGCAATAGGCTCCACGCATAATTTCCATTTAAAGTTGATTAAATACAATCCTAAAGAAATATATGTTAACCAATAAGAAATGAGCGCGCCTGAAATCATCAGCAACTTAATTGGATCCTCGTTCAACTTCGCTAACAATATAAATAGACCCCTGTCTAAAAGAAAGAAGGGAGAGATTTCAACAGACACACATAGAAGACACAGAGAACCGAACACTTAGAACTGTGAGCGGATACATCAAGGGCATCTCGGCTTCGACAACAACTACCACACCTTTCTCATCATTTTCATCCCACGCTTAATTCTTTTATACATTTTACCTCCTTTTTCTTATTCACAGGACATATTGCCAAATGAAACTAGCATCTCTCAAAAACACTTAAGTACATTTATAAACTGTTGTATTCATTGAAATATAACAAAAAAACATTATATTTGATCTTACTTAAATATCAACCTTGTGTCATCTATGAAAATTACTACTAATTTTGTACAATACAAAACTACTTATTAATGTTTATATAAATTATTATTGTTATACTCCAGGCTTGATTGTTCTTAAGATGTAGTTTATCGTGTTTTATTTACTCATTCATATATCTCTTATAGTGGGCTAATCCTAACAAGGCTCAAATCGAACCCCACAAATAACCCACTATACAATTACTGCCCAATAGTAAATAGTAGCTTAGATGTGATAAGATGGATTCTCGTTTCTTTCTGGTAAATTTCTAACGAAAATATAGAATGAAAAATATTTTTTAGATGAGAAATTGGTCTCTAAAATTACATTTTCAAACTACATATTGTCATGACGTTAAGAATACAAGTGAAATTGTAACTTTAAATTGAACAATGTTAATTGCTTTTGGAGTAGGAATTTCTTTATAACCGATAAAACCTTAGAACGATTCTTTCCTCACGTGGAACGAAAAATACATTAGAACATTCTCCTGGGACTAGTGATTATGGACACCAAATTTAATGACTGGACAAAAAAGGTTGCGCCTAGTAAGTAAACAAATAACTAAACAAACTTCATTTTCTTCTATGTAAAGGTTTCAGTAACACACTAATACATACATACATACATATATATATATATATATATATATATATATATATATATATATACACACACACATTAGACAACACAAACCCGTCGAGATCTGTTAAAATTTTAAGACCCGTTCATAATACAAAATGATGAGGTAACAATATCATTTATTATTATTTATTACACATTTTAATTTGATTTGAGAGAAGAGAAAAGAAGGTTTATTGCTCCACTGGGATTCACAGTTAACCTATCGCGTGACAATTTGAAGTAATAGCTTAAAACAGGTGTAGTCTTTTTCAAAATAATAAGTATATTTTTTATCATACATACTTGTTTCTTCCTCGCACATTTCAAAAAACGTAACGACGCAAATCAGCGTGTATCTATTTATTTACTATCAAGCCCCGGGTGACGTTTACTCTAGCTACACCACTGATGCTGTCTTCAGGCACTTGGCGTTGTTTACAGTTTGTTTAATTTCTCTGGGTCTACTGATTTCGGGGTGATCTTTGGATGAATTATTTCTGTTGTTAAATATTTAGTTGCACTATACACTAATTTAAATTTTAAATTTACACTTTAAATTGAAAATAAAAGTTAGAAATTCCAATGTTCATTTAAAATATGACATTTACGGTCGTTGTTGTTTAATATACGTAGGAAAACGAAGGGGTTAAACCATTTTTGCTGAAAAATATTTAGTAATGTAATTAATAAATATTAATAA